TAATCCCAGCAGCTTGGGAGGCTGAGACAGGAGCATCGCAAATTCAAATCCAGCCTCAGCAATTTAGTGAACTTAGTGGGGTCCTAAGCAACTCAGTGAGACCCTGTCTTTAAATAAAATACAAAAAAGGGCTAGGGATGTTCAGTGGTTAAGGCCCCTGGGTTCCACCCCTGGTAACCCCACCCCCACCCGCCCAAAATAAAATGAGTCATGTATCACCAGATCTTGCCCACTCAAATAGCTATCTTGTTACTAGTCTTGGATGAATTCTTGGGTACTCAGGACATCTTTGCATGTTCCCTGGCTAAGGACATGTAGCTGGTGTGGAAATGATATACATGATGGCATCTCTGCCCAGCTACCCTCCAGTCATCCTGTGCTGCTTTGTGAGAAGAGAAGCCATAATATTTGGCCAGCTCCCTTGATCTTGCATCTCAGCTACATTCAGCTTCTATTCAAAATTTCAAGATAAAGTTGGCATTAGTGATCTGAGAGCACATTATAGGAGAGATGGGATCAAATACTATCATTTTATGAGAAAAGTTTTTTTAAAGACAATTTTAGGGCTGGAGTTGTGGCTCATTGGTAGAGCGCTTATCTGGCATGCATGAATGAGGCCCTGGATTCTGCCCTCAGCACTGCATGCATAAATAAATAAATAAATAAATAAATAAATAATCCATTGACAACTTAAACATATATTAAAAAAGAGAAAATTTTAATAATACCTAACATTTATGTGTCTGAGTAAATAATTTTGAGAGGCACTGTTTTTCTTTTTGTTTTTCAAGAAATATTCTATTTTATAAACTGTGTAAAAGGAAGCCAAAGCACCAAATGTTATGGGACAATCAGAGTCAACGCTGAGTCTAGCTGGAACCTTGTTATTAAGAGCAGCAGTAGTTTGTGTATCTTAGTTGCTTCCAGAGTTTAGTCACTGCTTTTGAAACCTTTCCTCAAATACCCCAATGCACAAGAGAGTGATGATACACTTCCCATAGTTTGGGCACATGGCCCAGTGTAATATAGATTTCCCTGGGGTGCTCCATACTTATCTCTTGGCTTCCTGTCATCTGTAGCACAGCTTTGGGGGACCATGGCCTCGAGCCAGGATGGGATGAAGTAGTGGTCAGGAAGAGGCAGAGGCATACCCATTAGACATTCCTGAAGTGGTCCACTGTCATTATACAGTGAAGTTTGTGCTAGAGTTATTGATAAGCAATCTCTAATATAAAAAGTCACGTTTGATATCAATGTTTCATTTCAGGCCGAGGAGGCCCGGGACCTTCTCAGAGAGTGCCAAAATCTGGGCGTTCCAGCTCTTTGGATGGAGACCACCATGATGGATACCATAGAGACGAACCTTTTGGGGGTCCTCCAGGCAGTGGCACCCCTTCTCGAGGGGGCCGGAGTGGCAGTAACTGGGGTAGAGGGAGCAACATGAACTCTGGCCCACCAAGGCGAGGTGCTTCAAGGGGTGGTGGAAGGGGTCGGTAGAAGTGGGTACTAGGCCTCTCTGGACAGTATTTAAGAACTTGTGGACTTACCAAGTGAAACACAAGGAAGCCCGCACTATTGTAGCCCTGAACTCTTCTGGGGTAGCTGAGTCCCAGGAGCCCCTCATGAGGTCTTCAAGATGAAGAGACTGCTGCCAGCTACCTAGAGTAGCTAGACTTGTTTTGTCCTGTCCACCCTCATTGCCCTAACTCCCAAGTTGTTTTTGTGAAGATAAAGCTGGAATCTTTTTTTTTTTTTTTTAAGTGTCACAAGACATGGAACACCTCCACAACTTTAAGTTCATGTCCAATTGGAAATTTGTTTCTATATATGTACAGTTTGTCAGAGAAAAAAAACATTTAAGTTGTTTTTGTATGAATACAGAATGTGATTTACGCAAGAATTAACAGAAAACCAGTCGTGAAGTGCTTGCCTTAAGGAAATCTTTGGTTTCCATTGTATCTAATCTGCTGAGGGTCGTACAGTTATTATTGATGTAAATGAGGAGACTTGAGACTTGAGGGAACAGGTAGGTTATCTAATTTCATTTGTGAACTTGGTGCTTTTTAACATTCTCATCTGAATATTCTTTCATATCGTTTTTATTGTACAGTGAGGAATACTTTAATGTAGTTCAAAAGCCTCAGACATGCTCTGACAGATGGAAAATTATACTCAAGAAAAAAATCTGGCTGTCCAACTATGGGCTCTTGGGTACATCTCCCGGTAACCACACTTTAGATTTGAATTGCTTTGTTTTGATGAGAAAAACCTGGGTTTAAGTTAGAGGTTAACTACATACATCCTTTTGAAAACTTTAAAGCCATTTCACACACTAAGCTGAAAAGGAAGGGACTGAAATATCTGTTTTGCAAAACCTCAATTCTTCTTCCACACTAGCTTTGTGGAAATACCAGTGTTTAAAGGAGAGAATAGTTTTTAGAGTAAGCTAAAACGTTCTTGTCAATGGTGAATTCCTGTCATGTATTTAAGAAATATTTGGTTTAATTTGGATTGAAAGTCAAAAATTCAGTTAGACCACTTGTTATGCTGGTGATTTTATAGTAAGCTTTTTATTACTAAAAGGGCAGTCCTGTAGCTGTCTTAACATCATTATATTGCCAGCTTCAGTTTGGCAATGGAGACAGACAGGTGTACTTGGCAGGCTTAGTAGTGCTGGAGTCTCAGTGGTTGCTCAGGAAAGGGACACTGACATAGTTGGATAGCATACAGAAATAGGAACTGGCTGTATTAGTGGGAAAAATGATAAAGGCCAAGTTTTTTCTGTGGCGTGAGAAAAATGTCAAGTACCTACACTGATTTTTGAGTTATTACAACCTAAAGATTCCAGGTAAATAATTCTCATTTTACTTCAAAATTAAAAACATTTACCCGCACCCTACTATTAACACACTGTTAGGAGAATCAGCATTGCTTTAGGTTTATGGATATTCTTTATTTGTCCTCCACTTGTATAGCATTAGTAAAATAAATAATAATCAAATTCCAGGAAGCTAAAAGGATCCAGAGACCAAATCCTCATAGAAATTAGGTTCCCTTCCTTCATGTGGAATTATTAGCATTTAGAATTTAACATTATAACTGGTTCCTGGGAAAGCAGATACCCAGATCACATTTTGAGAATGAATTTAGAGAAAAACAGAAATCTCTACGTTATACATTTATTAAAATACTCAGAAATATAGTATGTATGGCATTTTAAAACATCATTGTTCAAATAAATACAAGATAAGGTGCTTTGAAAACAAGATTTTCAATGAAAATGCTGGACATTTTCGGTTTTTTGCTGTACTAGGGATCCACCCAGGGCCTCGGGCATGCTGGGCAAGCTTTCTACCACTGAGCTACATCCCCAGCTCTTTTTATTTTATTTTGAGACAGGATTTAGCTAAGTTGTCTAGGCTGACCCTGAATTTGGGATTCTCCTGCCTCAGCCTCCCAAATAGCTGAGATTACACAGGCACGTGTTACTGTGTCAGGCTGAAAACAGAATTTTTAAAATCCTGGCTTAAGAACTATAATAGCAACAATATAAAAATATGTCAAACACTAAAATCCTCAGCCATGCATATTCTAGAGAAATTTAAAACTAGAATAGAAATTTAACTAGGGGACTAGAAAGAGCAGTCAATGGCACAAGTCTTTCCCATTATAAAAATAACTTACTCCTGAAAACTTGAATGTATCTTTTTGAGGTAGATAACCCTAATTATTAATAGGGGAGGAGGCAGTATTAGCAAGTACTAAGCAGGGTGGTAGCTCACAAGCCCACTTGTGGATGTTGGTCACTTCAGTCAGTATCATATCTTGGGGAAGGGCTCAGGACATTATCAGGACAGAAAAATGTACATTTGGGGACTGGAGGAAGAAGCAGTGCTCTTCTGCTGCTTGACACAGTATGTTAGGGCAACACTGGAATCCAGTCCCCCAAAAAACAATTATTTTCAAACTGCGCAAGCCAGGGCAACTTTGGCTGAAATGGAATCATCAGAGGAGCTTTAATGTCAATGCCTGATCCCACCTCCAGAGATTCTGAATGAATTTATTTAAAGTGTTGCTCTTCAAGTAATTCTGATGTGCCAGTTAAATGTAAGAACCATTGGCACAGAACTTTTAAATTCTAAATATATTTTACTAGTTTATAGTTAATGGTAAAACCTGTAGTTTTTCTGGACCCCTGCTTTCTGGCAATAAATTTAGTAGGAAAAAGTAACCACTGAACCTAAGACAAAGGGACTATAGTGATTATATATGAAAAGCATTTTACACTGTGTTAGGATCACCATGGAAATTGTAAACTACAGGCTAGGATTATAGCTCAGAGGTCCAGCACTTGCCTAGTACATGTGAGGCACTGGGTTCTATCCTCAGCACCACATAAAAATAAATAAAAGTACTGTGTACATCTACAACTTAAAGGAAAAGACAAATAAACTGTAAACTGCTTTAAAAATGAAATACAATTAGAAGTGATAGTCTGCAGAAATCCATAATTTCCAACAAATATGGGAATTCTGAAAGTAGAATTACCTTCCTGTTCCCAGGATTTGCTAGCCCAGTTCTGCACTGAGACCTCTCCAAGGTTTACCGGCATCTTACTGGATACCAGGCAACTTGGGGCAGAAAATGACTCTCTTGTTCCCCTACTTTCATATCTAATTCAGGACCAATTTTCCTTTAATGTTACATAAGGCACCAAATTTACAATTTCTCTTAAGACAGTTTACCTCGGTTTTTTCCTTAACTAATTACTTTTTTAAATCCAGTGGTTAAATGTAATGCTTAATCTGATAGATACTCTTCTGAGATTCATTTACACTGAAGACTGAGGGAAAATAATTTCCAAGTCTTAGGTACAGCCACCCACCCCCCCCCCCCCCCCCCAAAAAAAAAAAAAAAAACTATTGTAGCTCAACATCTACCACTGGATTAAAAAAAAATGACAAAAAGTTAAGCCTGAGAAAAACCACAAAAACAACTAATGCACAGAGCCATTCCTTTTTTACTCAGCTCAATCTAAAATCACAGTGCAAAAAGAACTTCTAAGAGCAGCTTCACAGCACCAATTCCACGACAAAACTTCCTTTTCAGAGCACATGCTACCCAGGATAGCACGAAACGGCGAGATCAGGACCACCGGAAACCGCTGGTGTCGCAGTTTGAAACAGCTGCTAAAGGTTAACACTCGCCAGCACCGTCTGGACGACGCCTTCGCCCTAAGCGGCAGGTGTCATCAGGACGTTCTGCGGTGGTATAGTCCGGGAGTGGACGGGTGCAGTCTTTGGCTCGGCAGGCGCCGGGTTCTGAGGAGGTTCCGCGTCGTTCCCTGACGGCGCATATCCAGGGTTCACACCGGCAGCGCATTAGCTAGGCCTGCGCGGCGGCCCAAGCGACCAAGCGCCAGGCGCAGCGCGGTGCCACCGCCCCACGGTAGCAGACTAGCCAACCAGGCCAGTAGGGCGGCCACCTGCGCGCAGGCGCCCAGCGCCGTGAGCGGCGTACTGCGCAGACCCATCGCCGCGTACAGCGTGGCTCCCAGGGCGGCCGCGTAGAACAGCGCGGGCCTCGACGGCGTCTCCTCGCAGCGTAGCAGACGTCCGCACGCCGCCCCGCCTCGCAGTATCGCACCGCCGGCGAGAGCCAGCACCGAGCCCAACGACCAGAGTAGCGCGAATTTGCGCGCGCGCAGCAGCAGCACCGGCGCGTAGAGTGCCGCCAGACCGAAGCAGAGCGCAGCGAGTAGCAGACAGGCTCCACCCGCAGCCAGCTGCTGCCCGCGCGTCACGCTAGGCAGGCACGCCTGGCTCGCCGCCGCCGGCTCCGTGTGACTTCGCGGCCACGTCCACCGCAGGCCAGCGCGTCCAAGCCACGCTCCCGTCGGTCCGACCCCTGCCGCAGGCTCTTCAGCAGTCTCCGAAGCGAGTAGCTGCTCCGCTTCCGCTGGCCTGCCCGCTTTGCTCTGCGACAGATAGTCCTGCAGCTGGCGGTGGAGGTCTGCCATCTCCGACGGGACGGCGACGGAGAGGAGCGCTGTCACGCGCTTCCTGCTTTCGTTTGCGGCAGCAGTGGCTTGGCCAGATGGCGGCGGTTGGTGGACTCGGCGGAAGGGGCGGGGCCTGTGGCGCGCGTGGCCGTGCAGGGTAGTCTCTGTGCAAACTGGAGCAGTCTCGAGGTCTGGTCTGCTGGCCCGCCCCGCACCTCTTGCCAGTCTTTCTCTCAGCGCCTGAACCGGTTCTTTGGATTGTAGCCGCTAGACGAGTTGTGGCAGCATTAAAAGTTGGGGTGTGTGGCACACAAAGTACCCCTCTGGAAATACTGTCCAGACTGTCAATGGCTACATGGGCTGCTATACTGTGGTAATGAGGGATCTCGTTTCTTACTACAGCACGCACATCTAGTTATCTCAAAATAAAGTTTTAAAAACGTTTAGACCCACAGAACTTATTTGATTTCTTTGGGAACCAGGTCACAGTTGATAAATGAACGGTTAACACCCACCTCGACCTTGCTTGTCTTCTGGTCTTGGTTTGGGCCAGAGGCCTGGCAAGATCCTTGACCTCTTTACATCCCGTGTGCAAGATGTGGTGGTTCCTCTGCCTCATACCTGGTTTGGGTCTTCAGTGCCTCAGCCCCATCTCCTGACTGATCGCTTGCTTGGTCAGTCCCCTGTGTTCTGCAACTTTTCTCATAACATCTTGAAGTTTTCCTTACACCCAGGCCACACCCTCCGGCCTCCTAGGCCTGCTACTTTTTGATACCTTCTGCTACTTCTTTTAAACTTAGGTGTACTTTCTGAAAGCAAATACAAAAAGAAAAAGGGATGCAGAATTCAACAGATCGTCGATGCTCTATTAAGCAATGGAGGGGCACATTTTCTCTTTTTTTAATATTTAGTTTTTAGTTTTTTTTAGGTGGACATAATATCTTTATTTTGTTTTTATGTGGTGCTGAGAATCGAACCCAGTGTCCGGTGCATGCTAGGTGAGTGTGCTACCACTTGAGCCATATCCCCAGCCCTAGAGGGGCACATTTTTCAAGGGGAAAATGGCGATGGGATACAACAGGGCGCTGAGTAAATTTTATAGGGTTTAGCAGGGCCAGGTCACAGGAAGAATTTTGTCTATTCATAAAGTGGTGGGCTCATTTAGGACAGGGCGAGTAGGGAGAAGTTGTAGGTAAGGGAAGTTCCCTGGGACCTGTTCTTTTACTGGGGACAGCAAGTTCAGCTATAGGTGGGGTCCACCTACGAGTCCCTTCAGAGCTCGCCCCATTTGCCTTTTCTGCATTCCCTCTGGCTGAGGCCTGAACTTCTAGTGTATTCTACCGCATTGACAAAAGCACCAGTTCATCACAGACATCACCCCACACACCTGGCAGGAGGGTACTTAGGGGAACAGTTGTAGGTAAGGAAAATTCCCTGGGATCTATTTTCCATATCCCTCACTTTCTGTGTTCACTATTTCCAAGTTACAATAGTCTTTGTTCACAGCTTTGCCAGCTCCTTGAGGACAGGGTCTGTTGTCATTGTTCTTTTCCTAGGACCTGATAAGTGTGCTACGACAATGGAATGAACAAACACAACTGTCAATTTTAGTGCAGTAAATGCCTGAAAGGCTTTGAAGATACTTCCTGAATCCATTGATTGGAAAACCCAACCTAATTTGTAGATGTTTTAAATGACTGTTGTGAATTTGTGATATGATGCCTGGAGGTCCCCTGCTTTCCCACTCCAGGAGTCCCCAGGGTGGGCCATACTTGTGTGTTTCCCGAATTTTCTAAGGTAGTAGATTGTGTGTGTAACTTCAGAGTAATTAATTCTATTTGTCAGGACAAATGTGCAGGACAGGTAAGTTATCCAGTAGTTTTTTCTTGTATAGATCTTTGGCTTATTTGCTCCCCAAGACCATTCTTTTCCTGCCCTCTCTGTATTGAGCTGGTGGGGAAGGAGAAGGAGAGAGAACTATTTTTTGCCCACCTCAGGACCAACAGCATGCTGAATACAGGCTGTACCACTGAGCTACATCTCCAGCTCATTTTAATTGTGTTTTGCTCAACATATGGATTATCAGCGAGGTATTTTTTGAGGTGACATGTTCTAGTTACCTACAAGGGCATTTTGGGCTGTTGCTATGCGTGTGTGGTTCTAAAAACCAAAGCTCTTGGCATTTAGTTGCAGAGTCCTGGGCACAGCGTTGGGAACTGGTGAAGTTCGCACACTTGGGTGGAGCAAGCGCTAATTCCCCACAAGGGGCGCTGGAGAGCAGCCCAACCAGCCGGCTCTGCTTGCCCTCCGGCACTGCTTTAATCCCGGCTCTCTCCCTGCGAGGTCTCCTTAAACTTCCTGGAAGCTGAGGAAACAGACCACCTCGAACAGGAGTGTTGGATGCCTAGCCGAGGGCTCATCCCAGTTTTTCTCTCTATTCGCTGAGGCTTTCTAGTGTCTTGCCTAATTAGGAATCCCTGAGCCATTGTCTGGGGTCCTCGGCCGACCTCGAGCACCATCTCCGCCTCGGAGGCACCCTGCGCCCGGGTCGGTCTATTTCAAAGAAAAGGACAAAGCCAAGCTGAGCACTGCGGACTGGCCTCTTGCACCGGCTGCTTGCTCCTGTTTTTCAAAAGCTGCTTGGGGACCTCGCGGCTGCAGCTCTAGATAGCAGCCCAGCTAGGGCTCACAGCCACTGGGGGCGGGCTTTGTGGGTAATGATTTAACTGCGCTTCTTTCCGAGCTCCGGTGGAGGGGTCCCCAAGCGCATTATCTGTCCCAGGCAGGAAGTGCCTTCACTTGCACTGAGATTTCTCTGAGCGCCCAGGATGCAGGTGGGACCAGGAGCGCTCTCCTCCAAGAGGTCATGGCTGCGTGGTCGTCTGGCCCGCCAGGCCCAGGCCACAGGGGTTGGGGAAGCTTCCTGAGGGGCAAGAGGAGTGCCCTGCTTGACCCAAGCCTGCCAGACAGGGGCTGCTCAGCCAGTGCTGCACAAACCCCTGCTTTCCCACTCCGGGAGTCCCGGGGTGGGCCATGCTTGTGTGTTTCTCCAATTTTCTAAGGTAATAGATTTTGTGTGTGTAACTTCAGAGTGATTAATTCCATTTGTCTCAGCAGTTTGCTGTGTAATCCCAGCGACTCCGGTCGAGGCAGGAGGACTACAAGATCTTACTAGATCTCTTCTGGCGTACTAGCTACAATCGCTCTGACCTCAATATTGTACAATTAATGGTTATGTGAAATCCTGGAGTTTTCTGTGATCTAAGTGGAAACAGAAAGTAGGTATAGTTTGTTTTCTTGATTGACAATATTATTAAAAATTTCCCCAAAAACTTCATTTTAAATTTTTATCTAAAACTTAACTGTTTTAGAGTTTAACATCTTATATCAAAGTTAAAAAATATATTTAGAATATTTTGCCTTATACCTAAAACTCATAACAATTTTATACACTGTTTCCATAAACAAGTGAATCATTTTTAAAATGACTTCCTTTTGCCTGACCATTCCAAAAGTCAAATCTCCTACGGTGTATTTGTGTTGTTATAGGCATACCAGCTATTGTCATAAATTCTCCTCATGCTAATGGGGAATAATTGGAAACGGTTGGTTATACAACAAGGACTTACCTGGAAGGTCATATTTGAGAATGATGTTTTTTTTTTTTTTTTCTTTTTTCCAGTGCTGGGGATGGAACCTAGGGCCTCAAGCCTGCCAGTCAAGTACTCCACTACTGAAATACACTCCCCGTCTGACAATACTGCTCATTTAATCAGATATAACTAGATCCTTTTAAGGAGCTGAGATTGACTTTATGGAGCTAGTGTTTACAAAGCCCTTTTGGGAAAACCAGCCTGGTATCTGGCTTACATCATTCCCACAATTTTGGAATTGTAATGAAGATGACTTTATGGCAGGCCAGAGACCTGAGGATATTCTGGGAAACTGAAGAAGAGAGGAGTTTTTCCAGAGCTAAGAGTACCTCACCAGGTCTGGTGGCAAGTTCCTAGCTTCTGGCCTTAAGTGGTTACTGAAAGCCCAGTCCAATTTTTTTTTTTTTTTTTTTAATACAAGGATTGAAACCAAGAGCATTTAACCACATCCATATCCCCAGCCCTTCTTATTTATTTATTTTGAGACAGGGTCTCACAAAGTTACTTAGGTCCTTGCTAAGTTACTGAGGCCGGCCTTGAACTTGAAGATCCTCCTGCCCCTGAGTTGCCAATTTGATATCTTTAGGTAAACTTCCTACCAAACAAACTTTGAAGAGGCACACGCATGTGAAGTGGGGGAGAGATGGAAGATAGAATCCACAGCTTTGTGTTATCCAGACTGGCCTACTGCTTGTGACCCTTCTGCCTCAGACTCCCAAGTATCTGGGGTTATAGGCATGCCCCACCACATGATGCCCATCTGGTAAATGTTCTTCCTATGAAAATAACTAGACTAAGTCTAATCAGAGCAGTTTTATTTTGTGGACCAGAATAAGAAGAATAATCTGAAGGGCCCCATGATGCAGTCCTATAATCCCAGTGACAAGGGAGGCTGAGGCAGGAGAATCACAAATTCAATCTCTGGTACCAAAATCATCATCATCATCATCATCTTTCTTTGAGATAATTTTTTATCAAAATTGGGAGCCTGAAGGGAAAATATTGTTTTAATGGAAAATGGTGCATTTAATTCATAGCACATTATGGAAGGTTATTGAATTTCATTGTCTTTGAGCTACTTTGCATCTGTTTGTAAATTGCAGGTAACTGATGGCTATGCAAACTCTGTTTTGTCTGGCGGAGATTTAATTGACTCTACTGCCGACTCCACAGATGGAAGAATATAGTCACACTTACAATTATCCTTTGCTAGAAAAAGCCTTTGCTTCCCTGAGTACACAGCCCTCATTAATCATATAAACTAGCAGCATAAGGTTGATTTACCCCAAATTTACCTAATCTGTATCATTGCCCTTCAAGACTGATTTGGATCAACAGATTACCAGCTACCAGGTTTCCTCCATCATTTCC